TCTGGGAGCGAATTTAACTGTGAATGAGCTGGAGTGTGAATGGGTCTCAGTAGTGCGAGCGCGTCTCTGCGCAGAAGCCTGGGGCCTCTTAAGGCCTCCTGAAACCTCCTGCGGCTTCCTGGGGCCTCCTGGAGCCTCTTGAGGCCTCCTGGGGCCTCTTGGGCAGGGGAGGCCCAATCGATAGGAACTGATGTAAAACATTCAGCCTTGGATACAAAAGAAAGATAACCTGTCGAGAAGACGTAAAACACATAAAAGATTCGTGCTCCAGGGGAGGCCCAATCTATAGGAGCATACGTAAAACACATGGGCTTGGAGCCACTCCTGTGGCCTTCTGAGGCCTCTTGCTCCCGGGGCCTCTTGGGGCCTCCTGGTGCCTTCTGGGGCCTCCTGGTGCCTCCTGGCACTTCCTGTGGCCTCCTGGGGCCTCCTGTGGCCTCCTGTGGCCTCCTGGAGCCACCTGGAGCCTCCTGAGGCCTCCTGGGGGTACCTCCTGTGGTCTCCTGGAGCCTGCTGGAGCCTCCTGTGGCATCCTGGGGAGGATCTGTGCCCACGAGTCTGGCCACCAACACAAGCAAACCGATCGAGACATCCTCAATGTCTGGCACCCCTTGGGGGCGAACATCAGCGCCTCGCTCGAGACATCCTCACAATCTGCGCCGAAACGGATGTTGCGCTCCGAAACAAGCCAACCGCTCGAGACATCCCCGTAAATTTGGCGCGAGCCCAGGAGTGCAATACCCCCTGGCGGCTCCACCTTGGGGGGGCTGAAACTCGCGCCTCGCTCGAGACATCCTCAGAATTTGTTCCGCCATCATCATGATCGTCATCCTCATCCTCATCCTCACCAGCATCAGCATCAGCATCAGCATCAGCGTCATTAGCATCATCACCATCATCATCACCACCACCACCATCATCATCACAATCCTCGTCCTCATCCTCATCCTCATCCTCATCCTCCTCATCCTCCTCCTCCTCATCATCATCATCATCATCATCATCATCACCACCACCAACCTCATCAGCATCACCATTATAATATGCCGTAGCATACCACACCATAGCATAGCATATCATGCCATACCATTCCAGACCATATCATAACATACCATACCCTAACGCACCATACCATGCCAGACCATATCAGAGCATATCAGAACATACCATCTCATATCATAAAAGGACATAGCCTAACCTAATATAACATGAGAAGGACGAATAGGAGGGAGGAGGTAAGGGAGTTGGCGCGGTCGGTAATAACAATATTACCATCCTCTGGTTAAGAATTCTCTAGTTCGCGCGCGCGGGGCGGCCCCTGGGGGTCCCCGGACGAAAAGTACCCCGGCAAGGTCCTGAGAGAGTCCCGGGAGGAGTCCCCCAGAGCGCTCCAGGAGCGCTCCATGAGCGCACCAACAGGGCTCCGAGACGTCCCCGAGAGCCCCAAGAAAGGCCAAGAGGCCCCCAAGAGGCCCCCAAGATGGTACACGAGGGGTCCGACATGCCACAAGATCGCTCCAAGACGCCCAAGATAGCCCCCAGACGCCCCAAGAGGCCTCCCAGAGCACTCCCAAGAGGGCCCCCGGAGGCAAAATTCATTGTTTTTCCTTAGGTTTTTGAGAGATTTTGGAGCTTCCACCTTTTCGGTTCCCGACGCCCCAAGACGGCCCCAGAGGCCCCCAAGATCGCCCCAAGAGGGCCCAAGAGGCCCCCAAGAGGGCCCCAAGATGGCCCAAGAGGGCTCGAAGACGGCCCAAGAAGCCTCCAAGACGGTCCAAGAGGGCCCCAAGAACACCCCCAAAGGGGCCCCAGAGAGGGAACACGACACAAAATTTCGCGCCCTCGGCCCTAAGAAGCCCCTACGAGGCCCCAAGAGGCCCCTAAGAGGCCCCAAGAGGCCCCCACGAGGCCCTCAGGAGGCCCCCAAGAGTCCCCCAAGCGGCCCCAGGAGGCCCCCCAAATGCCCCCCCGAGCGCCCCAGGAGTCCCCCAAGCGGCCCCAGGAACCCCCAAAGCGCCGCATTGACACCAGGCCCTCGGGCAAACGGCAGACATGAGACCGTATGGGCCGGCGGAATGAGCGAAGCGATTCAATAACAATATTACCATCCTTTGGAGATGGGGGATAACAAGAATCCCATCCTTTGCATATGGGGAGCATGACATACCATAGCATGGCAAAACATCCCTGATAATGGAGAGGCGAGGGTGTTCCTGTGGGCGTTCTCGGCGCGGTCGGAGTCATAACCAGAACCCCATCCTGTGGATAAGACAGACGCCAACGCCAACCAAAACGCCAATGCCCCCGCAATTGCCGACCGATGCGGCAATTCGCCGCTGGCGCTACGGGCCCACCCGGGGGCCCCGCGACTCTCTCTGCGTCGCGGGGGGGGGGGGGGGCGCGCCCTCAAATTCAGGGCGGCGCGCGGCCCGAATCATGGAGCTCAAGGCCTCGAGGTGCCAGCGCCAAGGCGCCGCCCGAACAAACCCCAATCCGAACCGCAATGATTAGCCCGGCGTGCGGGGCGGGCATCCCGAACCCGCGAGTGATAGCAACTGGCGCCGGCCAGCGCAAGCGGAAGGCTCAAGCGTTGGCGATGAAATCGCGCGGCAGCGATCAAGCTGGTTGGCTGGTTGGTTGGTTGGGCGGGGAAGACGGAATGAAACATCGGCGGGTGCGGGCCCGCGAAGGGCTGCGCCAGTCGCCCCCGCCTGCGCCGAAAACCGCTTCTCTGTCGCGAGCCTGGCTGGCGGGCGGTCGGGGCGGAGTCCGGGGCGGGGGCAGGGCGGGGGCGCGGTCAGATAGGCGGGAAAGAACGGAAAGGCCGTTCTTAGCGGCCGGCAGCCCTGTCTGGGCACTATCGGGCTGTCTTGACCAGGCTTTGCGAGAGCCCAAACAAACCTGGAGCTATAACTATTGCAGCTCCTGTTTCCTCGCGCGGGAAACTCGGAACGTATTTTCACAATTTCGCTCAAGTCAATTCCAGATCATTATGGGGATACTTTGGCCTCCTAGCGCCGTTCCTATAAGGCTACCTCATTATAATGATACTCGGGTTTGCGAAATGGTGGCGCCTGCCATGCCAACCATTACTATCATGTTTCTGTCATCTAGGACACATACACATGATGCAACAACGCGCTAGGCAACGCCATACACAATTTACTTGCACGTAGGAAATGTCTACTTCTGCGCGACAGCGATGCTTCATGCGGTGCTTACCTGCGCATATATACATAGAGAGAGAGATATATACACCTATAACGCGTTGTATTGGCGAATGCGCATATTCCCCAATCAGAGCTTGCCTCTGTAGGGGTCCTAGCGGATTCATATGGTTAGGTTAGGTTTGCCGCCGATTTTCGCCGCACGCCCGGGTGCGGGGGGGTGCCCGGGTGCCCAGGTGCCCGGGTGCCCGCGGGTGCCCGGGCGTGCCCAGGGGTGCCCGAGTGCCCGGGTGCCTGGGTGCCCGGGTGCCCGGGCGTGCCCGGGGGTGCCTGGGGGTGCCCGGAGGTGCCCTATAGCCCTATAGCCCAATAGCCCTACAACTCTATAGCCGTATAGCTCTATAGCCCTATAGCTCAATCGCCCTATAGCCCTATAGCCCCCCTAGCCCTATAGCCCTGATTGGGCTTTTCTCCGGTATCATATATATGTGTATATATATATATATATATATATATATATGTAACGCGTTGTATTGGCGAACGTTGATGTTGCATGAATGCTCTATTTGCGTTTATCTGTTTCGTTGGCTGCGCTGGGCGCTTGCGGTAGGCGTCGTGTTGGTTTTGTCGTTTGCCATTCGCGTTTTATTGGCGCTTCTGGGGTATATAATCCGTGCTGAATGATGTGATACAGGCGCAGCGCTCACAACTCAGACACGGTGGCGGTATGGGCCGAAAGCCGCTGGACCCACCGCCCACCTCGGCTTGCAAATGGATGCTCGGCGTGCCAAGATTGCAACTCGCTCTTTGGGCCCTTCCAAAATGTGTTTGATGTACTCTCGGCGAATCCCGCCAGCCACCCGTGCGGACCGCAAACACCGGAAAGTCAAGACGCATCGCTTACACATTCGCTAAGGTGGCCCAGTGTAACCCCCAATGCAATCCCAAGACGTCTTCAAGACGGCCAATGTGTCCCCAAGAGAGCTCACGATGGCTCCCAAATGCCTCCAAGACTGCTCAATGACACCAAGACGGTCCAAGACGGCCGAATGCCGTCCGAAGACGGTCCAAGACGGCTCTAAGGGGCCCTCCAGGCGGCTTTCAAAAGTCCCAATTCGCTGGGATTCCTAAGGTTTTTTGTCTGCCAACTGAAGGCCCTCACAAGCCTTCAAGATAGGTCGCATACGGCCCCAGACGGCCCAAGACGAACCCAGAGAGTCCAAAGAGGGCCCCAAGACTGCCAACTGAGCTCTCTCTCTCTCTCTCTTCCTCCCCCAAGCGTTCCACGAATGGTTGCCACAACGGATCGCAACGGCGGGGGGAACACACACAGTCCAAGTGCTTGGCAAGACTCAGGCCCAACGTTTGGCCAAAGAGGTGTTTCCAAAAGGCAGGGGGCGGCGGTGATTCGCCGTATGCGTCGTCGATATCTGGTACTGTCTCTGGTGACTAGCTAGAAGACACATGCATGAACACGAGACTGAGACGAACATATCTTCAGCACGCGATCAACTTAGACCTCGTTCCGTGGACTCTCGAGCACGACACGCCAGGCTCCTGGCGCGGCATGGCCGCTCGCGAGGCTGACGAAGCTGGCACTGGTAGCAAAAGGGGTGATGACGTCCTCTGAGATCAACCGACGCGAAGAACAATGCAATGGCAATCCACTACCCAAGCCCTCGACCTTCAGCTTTACGCGGCTGTCCCTGGGTCGAATCGACCCATGAAGGTTCTGGTGCCCGATGGTGGGCGATGACGTCTGGTATGAACAAGATGCGAATCCCAGATCTCTCAGGAGACCAACGTATCCAAGATAGAAACAAACACGGATGCCTGATCTGATCTCGTCGCCGTCGGCCAGGACCCGGAACCGCTCCACCTCCGCGACCAGCTCGGCGGCCGAAGGGCGGCTGCCTCACTTGCGTGCGGCTGCTCTGGAAAGGTGCGCGGGGGTTCGGCCGAAGTGCGTTCGCCGCGCGCGACCACCGCTGCAAAGGAGCACTGGGTTGAAGCGGGAGCCAAGACCCGACAACAGCTTGACGGAAATCCAACTCTGCACAGAGTTCCACTCTGTAGCTCAGTGGGGGCCTGAAGGCCCGGCCTGGGCATCTCCAACGCAACGGTCGATCTCGCCGACGACTCCGGACCAAGGGATCGCATGTGCCGTGACTTAGGGCTACACGCTACACCAAATTCGGGCAATATGCTGGTCTCCCAGAGGGCAGCAGCCGCGCGAAATTATTTTGGCCGCTGATGAACTTCAATTCGTGGACTACCGTGCAGTGCAGTAGCGCTGTTTTTGAATCGCTGGGATGCTTTATCAACTAGGAAAAGACGATCGACAATTCAGAACACGTGAGTACGTCTTCCACGCGCAATCAGCAAACACTAGGTTGACACACAAAGGGTTGTTACGTATAATAAACCACTTGAAGCTCGAATTTCGGACGCGCCCACGCATTACTTTGCTTAGGTACATACGGAAGAACTGGTATCGCGGCTGATGTAACTCACTCTCTCCTCCGTCCTCCCCCGCTCTTCCTCGAAATCCTTCTCCTCGTGCTAATGCTCTTGAGGCAGTCGACTTGTGCGCTGCCTGGACATTTTAGGTTTTCGGCTGGTGCCCAGACTTTGGCGCCACGTGGGCAAACCGCCTAGTTTGCACCAAATACGTTGCACCACATGCCTTGCCCCCACATAGATTGTATCACAGAACTTGCACAACATAATGTGCACCACGCGCCTGGTACAGCATAGCTTGCACCACATAGTTTGCTCCCTCCACGCTATCTGCATGATCTGCACTCGCTGTATCAATCCTCACACCCGCACTCTATATACATGCGCCAAACGTATACACTTCATGCTGCCTGCGCACACAACCATGAACATGTCAGGCAATATCCACGCTTCCTGCGCTGTCTAGATGGTCTGCGCCAAATGGCATACTGGGAGCCTGGCATTTTGAACTAAGAGTCTGGCCGCCCACATATATCGGTCGCACACCAAATCCGCCGACCCATTGTGGGTCTCTATAGGCGTGTGAGATCGCTCCCCCCCCCCGTAATCCCCCCCCAGGGACCTCACAACGGGCCAAGAAGGCCCCAAGGAGCCCCCAAAACGGTCCAAGAGGGCCCCGAATCGCCGAAAGATCGAACCAAGACGCCCAAGATGGCATCCAGACGGCCCAAGATGCCGCCAAGACGGTCCCAGAGGCCTCCAAGAGGCCCCCCAAGAGGGCCCCAAGAAGCGATCATCTTTCCAGTCCCTGAGGAAAAACCAATGATTTTAGCACATTCGCCACTTGGGTGTTCACAACGACCACACTGGCCCAACAGGCCCCCGAAATCGCACCAAAACAGCCCAGGCGGCCCCCAACAGGGCTCCAAGATGGACCAAGAGGGCCCCAAGACGGCCCAGGACGGCCCTAAGAGGGGGCCCGGAGGGGGAACCCGAGCGGACATTTCGAGTCTTCGCTCCAGGTTCCCCCAAGCAGCCCCCACGGAACTCCGAGAGGGCCCAAAAAAACCCACGGGGCCTCCATGAGGGTCCAAAAACTGCCTCCGGGACGCCCCCGGGAGGGGCGACCCATCAACCACCCGATCGGCCTCAGCCCCACAACCCAAGCGCGGTGGCGGGATGCTTTCAAATGTCCCCTGAAAAACCTCCGACGCGACCCCATCAACTATCCAACAGGCCTCAGACCCACAAGCCTGGCATGGTGGCGGGGTGGACCGAAGGCCATTTGATGACCATGCGGCCACGGCGAACACAACTATCCCACAGGCGTCAGACCCACAAGCTAGGCACGGTGGCGGGATGGACCGACGGCGTCCACGGCGAACGCTGCGAATGTCAGCCGCGGCAAATGCAATGATCCCGAAGAGTATCCGTCTGAACTGCGATACTGCCCCCCCCCTCTCGTCCCCCGCGAATGCCCCGAAGAAACCCCGCGAAACATCCCCGATACTCTGACGCACAACCAGGCCGGGATGGACCGAAGACTATGAAAGACGTCGCGGTCAAGAAGACCGCGCAAGATCTCCAGATCCAGGGTGCACACGCGCGTTCCGTGGGTGCCGGCATAGCCCCCAACGGCCCCTGGAGGCCCCAGCTCGGGCCTCACATCTGGATCGTCACTCTTCGTCCCCCTCCTGTCTCCTTCATCCTCCTCCGCCTCATCCCCTGCCTCCCTCTACCCTTTTTACCCCTCATCCTCCTCTTCCTCCTCCTCCTTCTGCGCTTCCTTCTTTTCAGTTTCCTCCAGCTTCGCGGCCCCTCTCGCTCTCCCCTTTCTGGCCCTACTTCGACGAACCGCAGAACGGGCGCTCGAATGCGCATCCTTTGCACGTCTTGCGCTTCAGGGTGCCCTTCTTTTCGTCGCGCGCGACATTGTTAGGCGTCACGGAGAACGCCGACTTCGGTAGTTTTCTCTTGCACGTGCCGCTGCACTGATACGCCTGCCATCTGCGCGGCGTGAAACCAAGGTCCTTGAAATCTGCGCGCGCTACTGTCACTCCCCTCGTCAGGTGTTCGGTTTCTTGCGCGCTACTGATTTGCCCCTGCCGCGAGAATTCCTTCTCAAAACAGCCCCTGGTTCCTATCCGCATCTGCAGGGGTTACGGGATTTATCAAGTTTCGTGGTTCTCGAACACGACCCCGAAACCACGATTAGTCCAAAACACCCTACTCATGAAACCAGATACCACCTCCGTGAAGGCGTCCACTACAGCCGGCGACCAAGGCTATACAAAAACAGGGGGTTGGCGGACGTGGCGTAACTCTCAAGAACTCTTATCATACTCGCTCGGGCCCATTCATTGCAAACGCTGGTTCGGGAAACGTATACGTGTTCAACCCTCCTGCAAGAGCAGAGATGGTCGCCCAAAAGTGATCGCGAGTCGTGAGCCCCCGTGAAAGTAACAGGCCCAAAGCACCTGGGAGTTCTACGAACATGACTGACACGGCGTGGGTGTGCGCTGGGATAGATGGCAATAGTTCCACTCCGATAAGCACTGGATCCAAACTTGACCACCATAATTTGGGCAAAATCGGACTTCATGCAACATGATGTTAGATGCAATACTTGCGACGGTCACCAGAAATGCTGCGTGGACGATTCCCAATGCCGTCGTGAGCAATCAAAGCGATGACACCAAATGTATGACGCAAGGTGGGTTACCATAATATTTGGCCTATGTCTATCTCGGCAGTCAGACGGCCCCCTCATGTTGAACAGATTGTGTTTCATCCGAGGCTGTTCAATTTCAGAGACCCGAAGGCCCGAGGCGCGGACGGCCCTCACTCGACACATCCCCCACGCCCAAGTGGGCAAACCCGAGGCGCGCCAGACCAATTGGCGAATTCGCCGGAGCGCGCGCGCGAGCGCGCTCCCCGCTCCAGCCCCCCTCTCCCACTCCCCCAACCCCTCCCCTGCGCCACAGGGCTCCCCTGCGCTTTGGGAAACTGGGCGAGCCCCGACCACCCCCAAAGCATCTCTGTCCTACGTATTGGGGCAGAGGAGAAACTGCACCGGCATGTCTCTCGTTGAACGCTGCCGACGGACGTCGTGCCGCAAACGCTTTGCGTGCCCACACCTCTCCCTTGCCCTCCTGGCCGCGGGGGGCGGCCTGGCTCGCGAGCAAGCGTACGGCGCGCCCAAGCCGGAAGCGCTGGCGCATAGGCACTCTCTGCTTCAGACGGCATCGCGAACTTCGCCTGCCGCGAGGGGTTCAAAAAGGCCCGCGGGCGGAAGGCTGCCCCAGGGGAGCGGCAAGCTGGAGACGCCCCTTTGTCGCACCCTCGCCACTGCGCGCAAGCAACGATACCGCTTCCTGCGAAGGCGCCAGAGACATGTAGATGTGTTCGCAACGGCTCAACTTTCCACGCTTCGTTGTGTTGGACTGAGCTGAGGCATCCATCGATAATTCCAGAATCGAAACATGCGTTTTACCTGCGATTACCTGACCAATACACAAGCTCAATTTCGCTGTGGCACGGCTTAAGCATACAACTCTTCCAGAGATCAATGTCACAGTTCCTGGTAATTCCAATCGAATTTTAGCTGATACTTCGACGCATGGGGGGGGGCGGTAAATACTCACGCTTGAGATTCGCACATCTGACTGCCGCGGGGCCACCATAGATCGAACACAACCACACAACCGACCAAACGTACTTGAACCCGTTGATGTGAGCGCAAGCGCATGCATATTTCTTATGTTCGTGAACACTTATGGAAAGCTGCGCTTCTAATGTACAGTGCGTGAGCAGGTGCACGCATGACGCAAACAGGATTATTGGAATCAAGTGGATACTGTGATGGAATTACTGTTTTAGCACGTGCACGGAATTATGCCGATAACTATGTGAAAATCCATGACCTCATGGCCACTACCCCATGACAGTGCTCCCTCAAGCTAGATCTGCTTGGAAGTTCACAAGACACAGGATAACTCTCTCCTGGACGGTCCACATTGGCAACAATATGGCACAGTGCTACGGACTGCCCCAAGCATGCTTGCTGGACTCAAAGGTATGCCTCAACATCACCCAAGGTGACCTCCAAAAATCCTCAGATGGCCTGCGACGCAGCCCAAACCAGTCTCCAAGGTCGCCCTGTAGGAGCAGAGAATATTCAAACCATGTTGCTTGACACTCTTTTCCATGTCGCCCTGCTGAGGCTCACATGAAGTCCCAAGACAATATCAATGTCGCCCCTGAAGTACGAAATCTTACACGATCATTTCCCACTGTCACCCACAGAAATCCGAAGATCACCCAAGACCCCCCAACACGGCCGGATATTGCATTGATACGTACAGAAAGCCTCACGGTGGCTCATTTGGACCTCCATAGCGCCAACTATCATCAGCGATGACCCCGAAGAGCTCTCCTGGTTGCCTCAATTTTGCCCTCGGGTAAAACCAGATGTCCCAGATTGGTCGAATGGTGTGGTGGAACTTAAAAAGCCCTTAGGCAACCGCAAGGACCCAGCAATCCAACAAACCACTTGCGGAGGGGGCGGCCTCATAGGCAAAGCCCAGCAAGGACAGATCGCACACGGCATGCAGGACAAACATTGGCGTGCAATTGGCAGCCGTAAGAGTAGCCTGTCCTGCAATACAAATACAGACCAGACGTACAAGCAAACTAGATGACAAGCGGCCAGACCGATCAAACCAAATACATAGACACCGGACAAGAGCAGGACAGGACCTGACAACACAAGCTTCGACCAGACCAGACACACCATACGGACAGACGTGCCCAACATACTGACAGACATATAAACAGACCAGAAAGACAGAGACAAAACAGAGAGAGAAATATACCAAAACAAAATGACTGACTTGTCCGACGTACCGGCATCGACAACACAAACATACCGACATAAGCAACCAAACCAACGGACCGACCAGATAGGCAGGCAGTCAGCCGGGCAGACAGACAGACACGCAGACACGCGTCAGACAGACCAAACTGACCAGACTGCGCTCTGCGGCGGTCTGTCATGGCAATCTGCGGCAAAGGGGGGCAGGCCCCAGGTGCCATTGGCTACGCTTCCAAGCAGTCCAAGCAGGTCCTTCCTCTTCCTCAGGTCCCTCCTCCTCCTCCTCCTGCTTCCCAACTCCCTCACCCCTCTTCTTTGTCATCACCTTTGTTGTCCTTCGATGTGACAAATTCTGGCCTGGATGTTCGCCAGGGCTGAATCCATCGGGAACGGGTGGACGCCTGAGCGCGGCGACGGTGGACTGAGAGACACACAACTGTCTGGATGAGCCGCTCATCCAGATAGTCGTCTCTCCCAGTCGCCCCAGCTCATCATGAGCGGGGGCGACTGGGAGAGACGACGCTGCTTGCAGGAGAAGGGGGCATGATGGGGGTTGCAGAACGAGGACAAGGCATCTCGGCCCGAGCTTGCTCTGAGCCCGAGGTCTCGGCCGACCCCGCCAACTACCTGAGATAACCCGCTCCTGCCGGCATTCCTGCCAAAGATGGTCCCAGGGTGCCTCCAAGAAGGACAAGCTGGCCCAAGACGGGCCAATATCGCTTCAAGACGGGCCAAGATGGCCTCAATGCGGCCCAAGAGGCCTCCAAGAGGCCTCAGGAGGGCTCAGCTGTGCCTTGAAGCCACATCGGAGGCTGGGGGGTGAGATCGCAGTGGAACGGAGACCCCCAACCCGGAAATCGTTTCGTTTCGTTCGTGTCGTGCCTGCGGGCGAGGCGAAGCTGCGTGGGCGCGCGAGAGGAATGAACCCGCCGTTGCCAGGGCGACGTCAAGACAACTGATTCTCCACCTCCCGCGCGTCCGGCGGTGGCCCGCGGTGTCCCGCGGTGTCCCGTGGTGTCCCGTGGTGTCCTGTGGTGTCCGCCGCTGCTAGTGCGAAGTCAAGACAAATGACCCTCCCGCCCGTCCGGCGGTGGCCCGCGGTGTCCCGCGGTGTCCCGTGGTGTCCCGTGGTGTCCGCCGTTGCTAGGGCGAAGTCAAGATAAATGATCATCCCCCGCCCGCCCGTCCGTCCGTCCGTCCAGCGGTGGCTCGCGGTGTCCCACGGTGTCCCGCGGTATCCCGTGGTGTCCCTTGGTGTCCCGTGGTGTCCCGTTGAGTGAGATCGATTCTGAGATCGATACTGAGATCGATGTGGTGCCTCTTGGTGTCCCGTGATGTCCCGTGGTATGAGATCGATAGTGAGATCGACAGGTTTCCCGTGGTGTCCCGTTGAGTGAGATCGATAGTGAGATCGATAGTGGGATCGATATTGAGATCGATGTGGTGCCCCGAGGTGTCCCGTGGTGTCCCAAAAAGTGAGATCGACAGTGAGATTGATCAAGAAATAGACAGGTGTCCCGTGGTGTCCCGTGGTGTCCCGTTGAGTGAGATCGATAGTGAGATCGATAATGAGATTGATAGTGAGATCGATGTGGTGTCCCGAGGTGTCCCGTGGTGTCCAATGGTGTCCCGTTGAGTGAGATCGATAGTGAGATCCATAGTGAGACCGATAGTGAGATCGAGAGGTGTCCCGCGGTGTCCCGTGGTATGAGATCGATAGTGAGATCGATAATGAGATCGACAGGTGTCCCGTGGTGTCCCGTCGAGTGAGATCGATGGTGAGATCGATTGAGTCGGATGTTGGTTCCCCCCCTCTGCCCCCCCACAACCTCCTTATCACCCGAAGGGTGGTCGTATAAGTAACTGTTTTCCTACGCCTTTGCGTGCTCGCCCTTTCGGGCTTCCAGCAACCGAAGAGGGCCCAACACGCCTCCAAGATATCTCCAAGATATCTCCAAGACGGCCCAACAGCTCCTAAGAGGCCCGCAAGACTGGCCACGATGGCCCCTCACCAGTGCCAAGAGAACCCAGAGAACCCCCCCAGCGGCCACCGAAAGCGGCGGACAGCCCAAGAGGCCTCCGAGAGGCCCCCAAGAGGCATAGGACATGCCCAGGAGGCCCAAAGAGAACCCAACGAGGCCGACAAGAAGCCTCGTCGCCCGTCCTCCTTATCCTCCCTCGTCTCGTCCTACCCCTCGTTCTCCCCCAAGTGTTCGCCCGTGGGCTTCCACGACTGGGGGAACACATCGTCCAACAGCTTGGCCAAACTTTGGCCCCACGTTTGGTCGCATAGGCGTTTCCAGAAGGCAGGGCGGCGGCAGTTCGCCGTAGGCGTCTTCGGTCCGCCGCCGCAGGTTGCTTGCAAGAGGGCGTCTGGCCTGCTGGACTTGTGGGTGCCTTCGGTCTTGCCCTTGTAAATGGGGTTCCCAGTGACCTCCAGCCCACCCCGCCGGCCACCCAGAAAGCATAGAAGATCAGCACAATCTGCGTCCCAGATGGCCAAGCCAAGCTGGCCTCCAAGAAGGCCAACGGCGGTCCAAGATGGCCTCCAAGATGGCCGCGAGGTCCAAGAATTAAAGATGTCCCTGAAGACGGCCAAACAGGCATCCAAGAGGCCCTCCAGGAGGCCCGAAGAGGCAACGATTACTTGTGTTCTTCAGGGTTTGAAGGATTAAATCAATATCGCTCGGGCGGAGCAATGCCCAAGACGGCCCAACCGGCCCCCAATATCGCCCGACGACGGCACAAGTGTCCCCCGACAGGACTGCAAGACAGTCCCAAGACGGCCCGGAATGGCATCCAAATCGGCCATTTTGGCCTTACGCATTTGGCCTCTAGCGTGGTCCGGTATGAGCTCCACGACTGTCTACATGCCCTAAGATGGCAACAAAACGGTCCAATATGGCTCCAAGACGGCCCCCGATGGCTCCAAGAGGCCCCGAAGATGCCTTCAAGAAACGTCCAAGATGCTTTATCCTCCTCTGAGTCCTCGTTTTCGTCCTTCTCCTCCTCCTTTTCCTTCTCCCCCCCTCTTCCCTACATAATCTCCCAACGGTTTCGACATTGGTTTGGGGAACGCATGCCCTCCAAAAGCTTGGCCGAACTCAAGCCCGTCGTTTGGACACATAGTCGTTCCCAGAAAGACAAAGGCAGTGGTACTTCGTCGCAGGCGTCTCCAGTGCAATTCTTGCACTCTTTTACGAAAATTTCGCTGTGTTCAGGACCAGTACGTGTGACCATGCATTCGACACTACGACCTCGAATCGAATTAATATACCTCGAAAGTGACGACTGATTTGAAAAATTCGTGTGTCAGCGTTCTTGCCGTCGGCGCTTAGAGCGTAGCGCCTGGCTGCTCTTTCCAGACTCTGCTGGGTCGCCCTGGAGATCTCGGGAAGCCCTGGCAACTAAATCTGCTGTAGAGAGCTAGGATCACAAAGCGTGCCGCCTGGCGCCTCTGTTCGGGCATTTGGGGGGCTCGATGGAGCCTCCTGGGAATATTTTGGGCCAGCTTGGGAGCCTCGGGGGGGGGTCCGGGGCCCCTTCTGAACCCTCTTGGGGTCCTCAAGGCCTCCCCGGCCCCCCATGCGAACCAGAGGTCGCAGTTCTGGGCCCATCCCGCCACCGTGTCTGGATTATGGTTTAGAGGCTTCTCGGATGTTCGCGAGGATAACATCGTGGGATGCCTCTCGGGGGGCTTTTTGGAAGCAGGTTTGAAGCCTCCACGGTGGCGTTGTGGAGCTTGTCGGACCTCTCTTAGCCATCTTTGGGGCCTCTTTGGAGCCTCTTGGAGCCACTCAGGGGCCTCTTGGGGCCTCCTGGGGGCATCTGGGGGCGGGAAGCTCGAAAGGTCGGTTCGCGTTCCCTCTCTTGGGCCCATCTTGGAGCCGTCTTCAGGCCCTCTTCAGGCCCTCTTGGGCCGTCTTGGGGGCCTCTTGGGCCGATCATGCGGCTCTTGGGCCGTCTTGGCGGCCTCTTAGGGTGACGTTGGATGCTTCTCGGGCAGTCTTGGAGTGTCGGCGGCTCGAAAACGTGAGAAAGCAAACAACTATTCGAAACACACAATGAAAATCAATGATTTGGGCGTCTTGGGGTTCTCTTGGAGGTCCTCGCGGAGCGACCTGGGGGCCTCTTGGGGGCCTCTCATGTGGTCATCTTGGGCGGCCGCGCGCGCTTAGGTTCTAGTCAATTCCGGAGACGGTGTCTATTTCCATGAGACCTTTTCCATGTGGTCCTCCGGGTTCCTCCCTTTCACCCATGCGTGATTTTCGAGCGGATACGGCGAAGTTCAAGCAAGGGTTTGGCCTGTAGCGTACTAGCGACGACCGACGACGACGACGACGACGGACCACCAACGATCAGCATCATTGTCACCTGGAGAGGAGTTTCCGGAGCGTCTTGCAGGCGTCATGGGGGCGTCCTCGGGCCTCGACATTGGGTGGGCGGGTCGGGGGGTGCAGCCAGGGCTACGTGTTCCGAAGGGCTGTTCTGGCGCATGGAGGACGAAGGGCTTCTGGCCAGCTTCTGAAGGTCTGTGTAGGATGCCTCCTGCGAGCTCGGTGGGGGTTTCTCGGGAGCTTCTCGGGTCTTTCTGGAGCCCCTTTGGGGGCTTCTTGGGGCGTCGTGGAGGCCTCCTGGGAGTCTCTTGGGGCCTCCTGGGGGCCTCTTGGGGCAGAGGGCGCCTCTGTTCGGGCATTTGGGGGGCTCGATGGAGCCTCCTGGGAATATCTTGGGCCAGCTTGGGAGCCTCTGGGGTGGTCTGGGGCCCCATCTGAACCCTCTTGGAGCCCTCAAGGCCCCCCCTGGCCCCCCATGCGAACCAAAGGTCGCAGTTCTGGGCCCATCCCGCCACCGTGTCTGGGTTGCTGGTTAGAGGCTTCTCGGATGTTTGCTGGAATGATATCGTGGGATGCCTCTCGGGGGGCCTTTTGGAAGCAGGTTTGAAGCCTCCACGGTGGCGTTGCGGAGCTTGTCGGACCTCTCTTAGCCATCTTTGGGGCCTCTTTGGAGCCTCTTGGAGCCACTCAGGGGCCTCTTGGGGCCTCCTGGGGGCATCTGGGGGCGGGAAGCTCGAAAGGTCGGTTCGCGTTCCCTCTCTTGGGCCCATCTTGGAGCCGTCTTCAGGCCCTCTTCAGGCCCTCTTGGGCCATCTTGGGGGCCTCTTGGGCCGATCATGCGGCCCTCTTGGGCGGTCTTGGGGGTTCTTGGGGCGAGTTTGGAGGCTTCTTGGGCAGTCTTGGAGTGTCGGCGGCTCGAAAACGTGAGAAAGCAAACAAATATTGGAACACACACACACACAATGATAATCAATGGTTTGGGCGTCTTGGGGTTCTCTTGGAGGTCCTCGCGGAGCGACCTGGGGGCCTCTTGGGGGCATCTCTGGGGCCATCTTGGGCGGCTTGGAGCGCTCTTGGGCCGTCTTGGTGGCTTCTCGCCGTCTCAAGGTCTCAAGAAGCCTAGGTGGGCGCCTCGGGGAAGCGGAAACAAATCCGGGACTCCGAAAACGGGCCCCTGGATGCCAAGAAAGGCCCCCGCAGCCCAGGGGGCAAATTCGGTTACGGGGGGGGGGGGGGGGGGCGGGGAGTTTGGGAAAAGTGTGCGACCCTGGGCCGCGGGGCCCCAGACGCCGCGTATATTATATACTACAACGCTAACAACTCGAAGGCTGGGGCGGGACCTTGGACTGGGCTGGTGAACTCTATCTACTCTGTCTAATCTGTACCCTGTGAACCCTGGAACCTGTCCACCCTTTGGGATCAACTGGAAACGTTCAGCAAACATTGGAAACAATAAGCCGGGAACCCAGGCACAATGGACGGGGAGCCGCGCCGCCTACCGAGATCGGCCCGACGTGTTTTGCCAACTTCACGCATATTCCGCGAGTCCCTGCAATACAGACACTGGCTGGGTAAGAAAAAAGGTGCATGGAATGCTACAGCAATGGAAGGGAGATACAGGGAGCGGAAAATGGTGGATACCAGACGTGGGAGAAAGGAAACAAGACGGGAAGGAGGGCCGTAGGTGTCAATTGCCTAGGCACCCTGCCATCAAACAGAGAATGGTTAAAGTCGACGAAGCAGGCGCAAGCCGTACAACAAAGGCAGAGAAGACAACCCCTGCAACGAACATCAACCATTATGGGACCCGGCGCCACGTCAGCAGGGTGCGCCTGTCAACGTGGCATACAAGACGCAGCCCAGTGCGAACACGTCGACTTTCGACCCTGGCCCCCTTTCAATTCGGGGAGGGTGATCTTGCTTCCCAGCGTCATTGTTGCCCATCCTCCGCGCATGCTAATACAAGTTCCTTTCGAATGCGATCCCCATTCTGACGAGAGCGGAACACAACATGATACTAAAACATCGCGAACCCGTCTGCACTCCGTTTAGGACTCCTGGAACTGCGATCACCTGCTGGACGTCTTTCCCAACAGCTGTACCCTGCTGGTCAGGGTGAATCGTTCCGTCCAGCCGCCACTAACCTACTCAACGGTGCCAGAGCATGACCACATGAAACGTCCCTCTGGGGTGGGCGTCTTGTTGCAGAAATTCCCGCCAAGCCCTTGTCCGCGTACCATGCGTTTCCTGTCTCAAAGGTGCATTAATCCATGCATGATGCGGGGGCACATCAAGTACGCATATGGTAATTGCGGCTCTACGATATGGCTGCCTGCTTGCCAATCTCAATTGTTCTGTAGCTCCACGATCGCAACACACGTGGTCTCTCTCATTCGTACTTCCATTCCCTGTCCGGTTCTCTGTGGACGAGCCAAGTTCTCTAATTTCTGTTGTTTCGTCACCGCAAGGGCTTCGTCGTCAATCAAGAACCTCTCACACCACCATACCTCCAAAGCTCGACTTCTCATCCTCCTTGTCATCGTCCGTTGTTTCCCTCCTCCTTACCTGCCTCCTCCCCCCCTCCTCTCCTCATCTTCCGCGTGCCGCATTCCTTCTCCCTCTTCCTCCCCCTTCTCATCCTACTCTCTTGTTCCTCCTCCTCCTCCTCCTCCTCCTCCTCCTCCTCCTCCTCCTCCTCCTCCCCATCCTCTCAATACCCCCAAGATGGTCCCAGGAGGTCGAGCATGGCCCAAGAAAACTTCCGACAGAACTTCAAAAGGCCTCAAGACAGCCACGCAACGGTCCAAGATAGGTCAGCATGGCTTCGGATAGCCTCTGACAGACTCTAGCCGGATAATAATTCACGATCGATTCCAAGAGGACTGCAGAAACCTCCGATCGTGTCTGGGTGGGCTGGTGGGGATACTTTTAAGTCGCAGCTGCAGGCCGACCAGCCGACAGCGTCAGTAGCTGGTGGGGATACTCTTTTTTTACAGCCGCAGGCGGAAGCGCCGGCGGCGGCGGGACACGGTCGGGCTGCGGCCGTGACAACTTAGCCGGGCGCGCGCGGGGGCCGCGGATCAGGCGGCGGTGCAAGCTGCAGCCCAGGGAGTCTGAAGGGAAACAGCCACCCAGGAAGCAGGAAGGGCGCTGCCAAAATGGCGCGACGCACATCCCCAGTCGAGGATCGTGTCGGTCCGACGATCACGAGGTAGTGGGGATCAGTCTCCGCGCATGAGGGGTGTCAGAGAGCCCAGGGTGTTTGTCCGGTATGAGCGAGACCGTGGGCAAAAGAGCTGACGTCGTCCAGCAGGGAGAAGGGTCTCTGACAGCGCCAGCAAACCGTCGCAGCTTCAGAGAACGCCTCCACGCGGCAGAAAGGGCACGCCTGAAGTCATTGACAACCGGAGTCAACCTCAGAACAACTGCGGAGGAATGAGTCTGCACGCGAAACATCAACGACATGATGTGACGCAGTGCAGGGGCACACCTGTTCCCGACCTTGGCGAGAGACACGACGGCCAACCGAAGGTGACAGGGCGTGTACCAGGAAGCAACGAAGTGACATAACGAAGAGCGGCTTTCCATCCACGCTGGGGTGCCAGAAAGAGGAAAAGCGCTCAGAAAAAGCTGCGCTGCCGCATGCCCACTGCAGCACAAGCAATCCGTAGTCACGAAGAGGCCCAGGAAAGACCGCTCAAAGGTAGGTAAACCTGCGTCCCATGAGCAATCCTGTGCACCGTGGTACATGCATAGCAGAGCAAGACCTGTGAATACATAGCAGTGCAACCAAACAGGATGGACCACACTCAATGCCAAAGATGTACCCAGGGTGCTCGAGCGCAGCCAATGGCGAGTGACACCGGGACAATGAAGGTGGCGCCAGCGGATGCGACGCACGACCAACAGTCATCCGAAGTGTGCCACCTGAGACACCTGTGGACCTGTTGGCAACGCCAGGAGCCAAGTAGGATAGACCACACCCGACCCTGTCGCGACCGCACAGAAACTAAGCTGCGTAATGCTGCCCGCTGGAAGGCCGGGTCACGGCCACCAGGAGAAGCCGGAGTGAATTAGGGTGCGGTTCTGGACAGTGACGAGGCGAAGCCATCTTTGCGTCGGTCACAGAGCCGCGGGGCCGGGGGGCGAAGTCCGACAGGGCCAGAGGTGAAACCAACTACAGCGGGGCCAGGGGCCAACTATGGCCTGCACGCAACACGCCCCAGCGCTGTCATGCAGACGGCATTCCTGGTAAACACACTTGGGTCCAAAGGCAGGAAGTGCGTGTACCAGGGAGGGCGGCAGAAGGCCGCCACACGAGTATATGAAACGTAACCCAGGGAGGCAGCTGAAGGCTGCGCAGAGTGTGGACTTTAGGGGAACCCAGGGAGCTTTAAAGCTGCCCGCTGGAAGGCCGGGTGACGGCCACACCCAGGAGAACCCAGAGCGAAATAGGGTGAAACAAGGGCGGGGCGCCCGCGGCTTTAGGTGACGACCCTCCACTGTTTCTGGTCCTTCCCGGGTGCGCGGCGACCAGCGTGGCCCTTCGCCGCCTGGCGCCCCCTGCCCGCGCCTTCACTTCCACCCAGGTACCGAAGCCGCAACCGCGCCCAGTCAACGCCGAGGTCCAGCGCGTCGTCCATGGCCCGCGCGTCGCAGTTATGGCTGCGGAAGGAGGACAGGAAATCGACGCGCGTTTGGTGGTCGCGCCGCCGCGGGTCGAGCGCGCCTTTGCTGCCGGGCATGGCGTGCTGCTGGGCGAACGTGTGCCAGGCGCCTGTGAACCTCGCTCCCAGGGTGACCTGAAGCCGCTTTATCGTCTCACCAGGTGTCTCCCCGGGGGGGTCCCAATGGATGCCGCCGATCTTAGTTTTATATAGCTGCTGCCCCGCGCCTGGGTCCAAAGGTTCTGGGCAGTGACGCGCGGCGGGGCCCGCTACCAGGGGCGGGGTGGTCAGCGGCTGGTCCTCGGCGCGGCGCCTGCTGCTGCTTCTGCGGCTGCTGCTGCTGCGTCCGCCGCCCGCCGTCTGCCGCCCACCAGACCCGCCAGCGCGGTCGGCGCCGCTGCGAGCCAGGTTGCGGCCCAGGGGCGGCGGGGAGTCTGGAAGGTCGCCAGTCACAGAGGCTAGGCAGGGCGTCCACCCGCCGCCGCGAAGACGCGCCAGGGGAGCGTTCCGGCCGCGCTGCCGTTGTTCCTCGGCGCTCGAGCTCGCGCCGTTGCCAGGGAGGGAGGGGCCAGGGCAAGTCGTGTCAGCCAGGGGAGTGCGGCGGTGGGTGGTTGTCTGTTCCTGTTCTCGCCCGTGCTCCCATTCCTGTGCTGGCGCCACCTCCGCGCCCTCCCCGTGGGCGGCCGGCAGCTCCTGCTCATCGGGCTCTTCCGGCTCATGCTCCGCATGCTGCTCACGTTCGCTGCTATGCGCCTGTTCCGACCGGCGGGGCCCGCCGACGGAAACGCCCATAGCTTCGCGAGGCGCGTCGGCTACCGGGGCACGGAAGCCCGGCGGGGACTTGCGGGTTGGCGCGGGCCGCACGGTTGGCCACCAGGTAAAGGCCGAGTCGCCTCCAGCAGCTGGGGCGGAGAGGACAGCTGCACTGTGGTAAGCGGGGGCAGGCCCCTCCCGTTGGCGCTCGCCTTCAGACCCGCGCCCGCCCTCGTCCACGAGCGCGCCCCCGCCTGTCGCAGCGTGACTTTCGCCATGTGTGGGAGTGCTGCGGGTCGCACCTGGCCCAGGCACGTGGTCAGACACCGTTTCTTTTGCCGGGACGGGAGTCTCCTTCCTCAGCGTGGTCCGGCCTTCGGGAGGGCGGATTCGCTGACAGGGGAGCGAGGGCGAATGGGCGCGAAGGGGCTTCTCTCGACAAGCTGGCGGATGGCCTCGATGTCCTGCCTCTGCAAGGCATGTTCGTGGTTCCCCAGCGAGGGGTTTTCGAGAGTACCAGGGACGGCGGCGGGCGGAGTCGCAGCGGGGCGTTGTTGGGTCTCGCCGCCAACCAGATGCATCGACAGCCCCAGGCTTAGCAAGTAATGGGCTCCGCATCGGCCGTCGGCCACGGGGATGGCCTTGGAGGCGCTGGCTGGAGGGCCGGTGCCGATCGCAAACACGCGCCCGTCTGTGGCCCGCGCGCACCTCCAGGAGTCAAGCGAAACCTTCAATCGTGAGCGCCCAGGGCCGCTGTCAGTCACACTTTCGCGCACCCCCACGACGCGAGAACTGAAACAACTGACGGCCGCGCTTGGATTTACGACCTCCTGGCTGTCTGTAGCGCGCGGAATGTCTCCGATTTCCGCAGTGCCGTCCGCGGCCTCCCGAACTGTCGTTGCGATGCTGTCGCCAGGAGAGTGCGCCATTTCGGGCGCATATTCGGCGTCCGCCAAGACTCTGCTCCCAGGGCGCTGGCAAGAGCGAGGGGGCGCAATTTCGGCAGCATCTTCCGCCTCAACAACGAGACCGCCCCCGGGACGCTGATAGGAGTGAGGGTTTGTAGGAACGCCTGATTGGTTGTCTCCTGAAGCCTGAAGGGGAAGGCACCGGCGCGCCGTGGCTGACGACCGCCCCCTCGGTCTGTAGCTCTCCCAGGGGACTACTGCAGCTGAAGGCCGCGCGTTCCAGCGTGAACTCCTGACTCTCTATGCTGCGAGGAAGCTCGAGATATCATCCATCATCCGCTCGGGGAGGCGTCGTGGACCTCCATTCGGGAGGAGGCCGGTCTCCGAGCGCACGCGCGCCCTTTGCGGCGCCCCCGACTGTCGCGACGGTGCTGTTGCCAGGGGGGGGCGCAATTTTCCGCCTCTACACCGAGACCGCCCCCGGGACGCTGATAGGATTGAGGGGCTGTAGGAGCGCCTGCTTGGTTGTCTCCTGGACGGGAAGGCACCGGCGCGCTG